CTTTTTTTATTGTTGCTATAAACAATTTTAACTAGTTTCCGACACATAAAAAAATTAAAAAATTTGTATATTTTCTAATAGTACATAATACATTTTCAAAAAATTTAAAAAAAATCAATTTTCAAGATAATATTTTTACTCAGAACACATTTTGCTAGAGTGAAAGTACATTTTAACTAATAACAAGTATACAAACTAAAAACATCTTTCCAACAAAAAAACTTTTTTCAAATAAAATTTTTCACAAAACTTAAAAATCCTGCAAATCAAACACCAAACAGCTTTATTGTTTAAGCTGTTTTTTCAAATAATCCTAAATGTTTTTCACACATTTCACTTTTTATAATATGAATATTATTTCAAATGGTGACACCAACCTTTCTAATTAAATAATGAAATGAAGAGACAAACCTACACTTTCACCGTAGAACTGCGAGTGACTACTGGACATGCCACCACTAATATTTATACTGTCTACAAGAATCAAAACCAAATGAAATTTTCATTTTTCAAAATCGCACACAGACAAAAGAAATTCCACTTGTACAGGCACGCACACATGCGCACCGTAAATACACATACTAACAAACACTTGTGGGCTGTACGAAAATGCCGTAGGTGTGCTGTTATGGGTGTGGGGTGCTATCCGTATAGAAAACATGCACAGACGCTAGCGCATAGGCGCTTTTCGCTGAGCGATTTTTCGAAATAATTTTGCGGAAGAAGAGCGGTGGATGCGCACCGAAATACACAAATATTTAAAGATTCCTCATACTTCGAAGCAGGAACATACATATAAATGCACACACACACGCCCGCATCCATATGCATATGAGCTTTGCCTCCGAGTTTTCGAGTTTTCAGCATTTTTCATTCGATCAAAACATAAATGGACTGCCAGCCGTTACATGTTGCCGTTGATAAGTAAAAACATTCCAATACAAAGACAAATATAACTGTGCGCTGTACATTCAACGCCCCCCACCAACACCCGCCAGCGCGCAACGACGAGCGCACAAGTGATTTTGCTCCGATCTCGTGCCGAACACCGACTTGTCGGCATAGCAGCACGAGTGAGTGGGCCGAAAAGTTGGCGCTGCGGAGGCCGCTCAAAATCGGCAATTAATTTTTGAAAATAGAAAAGGTGCCAACCGTATTCCAAACATTGTGGCAACAACACCACCACACCAAACGGCCAGAACACACACCAATACCAAGGCGCGACGCCAGTCCAACACTGTGACAAGTGCAACGACGCCGTTACTGTTGTGGCTGCGGAAAATATTTTTATAAAAATATTTCTCTATTGTTGTATTTGTTTTTAAATTTCGTTGTATTTGCTTTTGTTGTTGTTGAAAATTTCGCTTTGTATACAATATTTTGGCCCTATATGCACCCGCGCACTCATGAGTGCGTCACCCCGTTCGCGACCCCCTAATGGCGACGAGAGTGGCTATTTTGCTGTTGTTGTTGTATTTGTACTCTGGGCATTTGTATTTATTTCGTATTTTCCTTTATTTTTGCTTAAAAAATAGTTGCAATTTTTTTGTTGTTGGCAGGAAACATCTTCATCGCTTGTTTATGTTGGGCATTTTTTGAGTATATTTAAGTGGCAACGTTGGCATCCAATTGCTTCATCCCATAAATGGATTGGATGGAATATTGTGGGCAGCGGCAGCGCCAGCACACACATGCGTTCCTTCGCACATACATACCGATGTATGTATGTTTGTAGAAGAGGAATTTGTGCAGGCAGTTGCAAATGTTTCAGCATTAACCCATTCGGTGACGTAAATAACAGACGAAACAGACGAGCATTTAAACGCACCTTAAATATTTTAATTAGCAGTATTTTAAATTTATATTCATATCAATATTTTTTTGCTTAACAGTAACCAACTCCAAATTTGGGCATTGATGAGTTTTTTTTTATTATTTCATACCTGTAAAATGTATGCAAAGTGTGTGGGTTGACACCAAAACTTTTGCGAAGTCTTATCAATTGATAATGACGCAGAGTATGATTATCATAACGCTTTTTGCCGTAATCTGCCGTCAGACTTTTTGGTGACACACCTCCTGAATTATTAGAAATGACACATTGAAATCTGAGTAATCTGTAATACTCCCTAATCGTGCCACTGTCAATACTAGATATATATAATAGTTCCATATTAGTCTAAAAACCAATATTACTAAAACTATAGGGGGTATTCTAGCCTAGAAATGAAAGAATATATATTTTATTTGTTATATTTGATAATTAATTTTTATTTAATTATTTTTCCTGCAACTGTCTTTTTCAAAACCTTTGGAGATTCTTCTTTATAGACGTATCTATGGCTGGTAATCTCCAAAGATCAGTTTTTACTATTTAAAATTTTTTTTCCTTGTTTGAAAAGGACGATGAAAGGTAAGCATTTTGAGATGGCAGAGGGGATCCACCTCGGCTCTCAAGGCTCTTCCGGAGAATGCCTTCAATGCTTGAAAATCGCGCTGGCAGCTATTTTGAAAGTTTTTAAAAAATTGCAACGAGAGGTTCAATAAATTTGTTTAAATCGACTCAATCCTATTACTTTCTGGACAAACCCTGTGTATGTAAAGTCAACCGGAATTTCGAAAATATTTATGACTATAAAGTACTACTAAGAGAAATACTGACCCCATTAAACCCATTTTAGATACATAGACATATTGTCAGGAAACGAATAGCCCTAAATTTCAATTAAATTTCTCACACACCTAGCGATATTTTCGGTAAAAAGTTCACAATAAGAACTGGGGTCCTCATATTCGGTCCCTTAGGGACTTGTGTAGTTTAGGTTCGTTTTGAAAAATGTTTAGTCATAGGATGGCACACTTAAAAGGCATTATTCGTGTAATGTTGTATCCCGTTGCATTAATTACTGTTTTATTTGTATACGGAACTTGAAAGAATTAGATGGAATTTCGAATTGTCTTATATAGGAAATAGGCGTTGCTGTACCTCATTTTCATCATTTTTTCACTGTCACTTAAGAATATCAGAAATATGTTATGTTGCTTGATATCGGCCGATAGGTCATGGCCAAATTCGATTGCCACCCCTATAAAGATTTCTCATACCATCTCGAGTTATATTAATTATTATTCAGTTCATCGCGATTTAGAAATTTAATATCAACGTCATATGTTTCCAAAAGTTCAATTTATTAAGCAATATGGAACAATGCCATCAGCGACGATTGACCGTTAGAAAGCCAACACTTGCTCAAAAATAAATGAGAATAAGGCAATGATTATAATTTATATTTTAATAAACATATTATAAGGTATTTTTGAAAAATATTCCGTTGATGTCGACGTAGATTACTTTCGTGTAGGCCGTCCAAAAGCATTAATGGAATCATCTTACATTCATTATAGCATGAAAATTTAAAAATAAAAAAATTTCACGTTGGATCCCTAAAGATGCGTTTCCCGTCGATCGCTCAAAAAAAAAACTTGTCGATATGCTTCGAAACATGTCTATGAAATCGTGGGTTTACACATAAGAGCCCAAAGGTGATTATCAAAAGTTGTTCGCACACGAGGCACGTCCAAGCAAATGGCGCTCTGTTTTTTTGGAACAACTAGATATATCGCAACCATATCACAATAACAACGGAAAGCAATAAATTCTGAGATATTTACAACCATCATTTTGCCAGTTGTCTTTCAAGAAATCAGGAAAACCAAACGCCAAGGACGGGTCTTCATCACACATCGACTGAAACAACTGCAGTTTTGAGCATCCAAAACTATTTGATGACTAATCTACCTTAAAGTCCAGGCATGGCACCGAATTACTTCTTTTTATTCCCGTACAAAAAAATAAACTAAGAGGTCAACATTTTTCGATACCTGACCTGGCGGTTGATATGTTCAAAAGGAAATAACTCAAAAGTGCTTCTAAAATTGGTTCAAACGCAAGTGAAAGTGTATAGATCTTATGGGAGAATATTTTGAAGAACAATAACGCGATTTTCGCTAATTAAAATTTGTTTTTGTTCTCTAATCATAAAACATAAAAGGCAACCTATTGAACAACAGAAATCGACAAACCGAGGTCATATACTTTTTTACTTTTTCGTTTATATTGTTTGTTGGTTCTCCGATACCTACTTCTATCTTTCATACTTAAAATAATTTCTTGTAAATCCACTAAGGTTTTAGCACTTATTGAAAAATAAATTCAAGTTAATTGTTATATGAGTATACCGCAAAATATAAGTTAATATATATATATGTACAAATATGCTCTAAAAATCAAGAGTTCTATTCCGCCACTTCCTGCTCTTTAGCGTCAGTCATGAACAAGGGCGCACTCATATCTTAAGAACTACATATTTCAGGGATTAGTTTCCATATATCTAAGAACCTAAACCTATTTTTAAACTCACAGCTATGCTTTGTTGGATAGGTCATGTATGGCTATTAAGAAAAATTGGAAACAAGCGCAAACGAGACTTTTACTGATACTCAAGTGAAGAAACTTAATTTATTTATAGCTATAAATTTACATATACCCTACACAGAATTAAGAAGTTTTATTTTCTATTAAGTGAAAATTGAAGATATAATTTTCGAAGAAGACAAAAGTGAAAGAAAAAACAAGTAAAATTTCTATTTAATGAATTATTAACTTCTATTTTCTACAGAAATTGTTGAATTTTCAGAAATATATGCATTTTAAGGTGGGTATAATCGGCATAGACATCAAAGATGGAATTTGGAGAGCGCAAAAGAATGAAAATAAAACAAAATGCTGTTTTTTTACGCTAGCAGGTTGATGAGTGAATTTCGTGTTTAAAAATAGGAAAATCTGTCAAATCAAGCCCGTTGATAAATATAGCGATTTCGGAGACTTTTGTATATTTTTGTGTGTATGGCTGTAAGCGCGAAAAAGTTCATATTATTAGCTGATATTAGTGTTTTAAAAATATTCATGTACATATGTATATATGTATATACTTATATTTTAGCTATTGTGTTTTTGTAGAAAAGTGCTTGTATATTAAGTTGTTGACACTTTGTTTACTTGAAACAAAAATCGATATGAACATTTATGAGCATTGACATTGTTATTGCGCTTTTCCATTTTTAAATTGCGTTAGAAAAGTGTATTTTCCAAGACAAATATCATTCGACTGCATAGTCTGGTGCCAACGCTTAAGGCTTCACCACTGAAACGATCTAAACCTGCAAAAAGCAAATAAGTTTGCAAAAAGTTTTTAATAGCTGAAACCGAAAACAAAACTTTACAACAAAACGAAATGTATACAGTTTATTTGTTGGTCAAATAATTTTTCAGCACCAAAAATATGTTTTTAAATATTTACATATTTAAATATGTATATGCACTTTTTTTCATCGACACGGTTTAAGCGCGCCGTTTTAATGGAACAATCCGGGTCATATTTGATCTCCTGGCAGATTGTACGACTTTTTATAC